AATCGATCCCCTGTATTGATTATTAAAACCCTTTATATAGGGGAAGAATTACAAGGAAAATACAGCCACTATTTTAGGAATAGATAACAATAAATATTAAATACAATCTTTTTCTAACTGTGAGACTTGAGTCGGTCTCTAATATTCTCCCGCAGTTTGAGCGGTAGGTAAACGAACACTCAAACTGGAACGAAAATCTTGATAAAGCTATCGAGGCAATCCCTTTGTGAAAATGTCTGCATATTGTAAAGCAGATGGAACGTGAAGCGCCCGGATTTAACCTAGCGGAACCTTTTCCCGAACAAAGTGAATGTCGATTTCGATGTGTTTCGTCCGTTGATGTTGAATTGGATTATCTGATAGATAGACGGCAGAGACATTGTCACAAAATATGATGGTAGCCGTCTTTAGGGGAACATATAACTCGAGTAATAGGTTACGGAGCCAATTAGTTTCAGCAACGCAGTTAGCCACTCCCCGATATTCTGCCTCGACATTCTAACGAGAGACGGTAGGTTGTCGTTTTGACGACAAAAAAATTAAATTATTCCCCAAAAAGTACACAATACCCGGAGGTCGAGCGTCGTGAATCCGGACAACCGCCCCGATCCTCATCAGAATAAGCAATCAGTGAATGAGCCAGTGATGAAACAATTTTTAATCCATAGTCAAGTGTCCCAACTAAATAACGTAAAATACGTTTAAGAAACTGAAAATGGGGCTGCCGTGGGGCGTGCATGAATAGGCACACTTGTTGAACGACATAGGTGATGTCGGGCCTGGTGAAGAAAGATATTGGAGAGCCCCTGCAAGTGCCCGATATAAGTTGGCTTCGGGAAGAAGATCTCCTTCGGTAGCACCGAGTTTGGTGGATGTGTCCCCCGTGGTAGCACACAACTTTACATTAGTCATGTCGGGGCGTTGAAGCATTTCTCGGGCATATGTGGCATGAGAAAGAAATAGACCTTTGTCGTCTCCAGTAGTTGAAATACCAAGAAAATGATCTAAGACCCCTAAGTCGGTCATAGCAAATTCGGCTGATAAAGTGGTAATGATATACCGAAGTAGGATAGAATCTGAAGCGGTAAGAATAATATCGTCAACGTTGAGTAAAAGATAAGCTTGTTTATCACCACGGTGATAGATGAAAAGCGATGTATCACACGTGCTACACTGAAAACCATGAGATAAAATGTAAGTAGCGAATCTGTTGTACCATGCCATGTGTGCCTGTTTGAGCTTGTATAATGATTTCTTTAAAAGGCATACGTGCTTAGGAAATTGAGGATCGATAAAACCCATAGGTTGATGCATATATACTGTGTCGTTAAGATCGACTTGTAAAAATGTGTTCTTAACATTTAATTGATGTATGGGCCATGAGTTGGATACCGCTAGACTGAGCACGGTCCGTATAGTGGCCGGTTTAACAACTGGACTAAAGGTTTTCGTGCAGTCTACCCCCACGGTTTGTGATTTACCATTGACAACCAACCCTGCCTTGTACCTATCAAGAGTTCCATCAGATCTAAATTTGTGGCGATAGAGCCACATACAACGTATGACAGGTCGATTAGTGGGGCGAGGCACGAGCTCCCATGTTTTATTTTCCTGTAAAGCTCAAAATTCATTTTCCATGGCAAGTTTCCAATTAGGGTATATAGAGGCTTGGTTGTAAGAGGTGGGTAAGGGAGATAAGTTGTTTGGGTTGGTGGATACATAAAGATTGAGGCGAGTGACTGGTTTGGTGGAACCGGTTTTTAAACGTGTTTGCATGTGGTGAAGGGAGGGTGTAGGTGGGGTTGGATTGGTATGGGTGGCCTAAGGCAGTTGGGATGGTGCAAGGGGATGATTAGTCTGAGTGGGTTTATGACGTCGAGTGTAGGTGATTGTAGGTGGGGATGTTAATTGGTGGGAAGGAGTAGAATTTATGGTGGATTTTTGGTGGTTGTCGAGGCCAACAAAATTAATAACCCTATATCTTTTACACTAAAATAGTGTATAGTGGTAAAGGGATCGTATCCATGGAGATTTGTTCAATTTATGAGTCTATGAAAAATCTCTTTGTAATAGTACTTGTAAAATGACAATAAAAGTAAAAATGGGGGTTTTGATATTTTGAAACACTTGAAATAAACTAGGATTAAACTAAGATTTAAATAGTCAATTTCAACAAAAACAAGAGTTTGATTTAAAATCAATAAGAGAAAGATGGTTGACTTTAGGTTTCCTCACTTTGACTTTTTGATGAATATATCATTAGAATCCAATGGTGCAATACTTGTTTTAAATCCTTAATTTTGCTACTGTAATCCAAGAAGCTTGAGATTACCTAGACTTTTCTTAGTTGTTGAAATAGTTAGAGGTGCTCATAACAATTTCCTTAGTCAAAGTCACCAATTCCATTAAGCATGTAATTAGTGAAAGTCAACTAGCATTAAGAATTAAAAAGTCACCAAATCCAAGAGGAGTCAAAAGCTTCCACTACCATGTCGGGGAAAATGTTTTTATGATTGTGTGAAGTAAAACTAACACAAAAATCACTTGTTGCTTGCTAATTTGAAGATCCTTTACTTAATCAATAAATTAGTCAACTAATCACCACAAACACATTTAAACTCATGAATAAAAACATATAATTAATGATAAGATGTTAAAACACAAAAATTTTCATGAAGATTCAAACACAAGTTCATGGAGTCTTCAACATTCAACAATTAGTCATAAGATTTCACCAAAGTCAACCACAATTTGTCTAGCCAATCATGGCTAAACTTAAGAAAACGAAGTTAGTAAAGAATGTACCCAACATTTTAACAAGAATCAAGAGGTGAGAATGATGAAGTTCTTGAGGGTTCTTGGTCTTCAAAGTGCTCCAAAACTCCAGAGAGAATGTGTCAAAATCAGATGTTCAAGATAAGGCTAAAGAGGCACACCAACCTTCCCAATATAGAGCTCCAAACAAAATCCCGAAAATGCCCTTTCAGGAATTCACGCGGGCCGCGTGGAAACCTTACGTGGGTCGCGTGAGTGACGGATTTTTGGGCTTCTTTAAGTCTTGGGCCCCCTCAGCTATTCCATTGGCCCAGTTCGAGTCTAATCAGCTTCTAGCCCATTTTTCTTCAAGATTTCATCAATTTGAGCCCAAAGTGCCTTTCCAAATCACTCAAAGCTTCCGCAAACTCCCGATCATCGATCTACGCACACTTGAAAATTCTCCTGCGCCTTTCAAACTTAAAGTTCAAATCTTCCAAACCTTCAATAAATTGACAAGCCCATTCCATGAATCACCTCCATAGCCATCAAGCACAAAATCCTCGTTTTCCTCCAAGTCCAATCGCCTCCCTAAAATCCCGCACCGCTAGTCTACAAAAAAATCTTCAATAATGCTCATGAAACTAGAAAGTACCCGAAATGGTCATAAAATAACAAAAAAGGAAAATATGCATGGAAATTAACTAAAATGCGAATGAAATGTTCTAAAATAAACTATAAAAAGAAGTAAATAAAACGAAGCTATCAATTTTGGTGAGGGAGTGGAAGTAGGTATGGGGTTATGGATTGGGTGTGTTGAAGTAGTGGTTTGGGTCTGGATTATTATTGGAGAAGGATCATCGTGAAATTGATAGGTGTAAGGAACGGTGGGTGTGGGCTCGGAGAAAGGAAACGAGTTTTCGTGAAAAGTAACATGGCGAGATAGATAGACTTTGTCGGAGGATGGGTCGTAACAACAATATCCCCTAAAGTTTTCTGGGTATCCAAGAAAGATGCATTTGGTGGAACGAGGGTGGAGTTTATTTGGTTGGGTAGCAGACAAGTTTAGGTAGCATGTGCAACCAAACACACGTACATGATCATATGTACGATGTCAGCCAAATAGAGAAAAGGTGGGAGTGGAAAATTGTAGGCGTTTGGTGGGTAGTATGTTGTGAAGATAAGTGGCGGTTTGTAGAGCCTCTACCCAAAATTGAGGGGGTAAATGGGCATGATTCATAAGAGTGAGGATGATGTCGTTTAAGCGACGAAGCATCCGTTCGGCCTGACCATTTTGTTGGGAGGTTTGGGGACAAGAAAAGCGAAAGGTAAGGTCGTGGGTTGCAGCAAAAGTTTTGAAGTTATGATTATAAAATTCTCCACCTAGATCGCATTGAATGGTTTTGATATTACGATTAAATTGGGTTGAAATAAGCCAATGATATTTGGAAAAATTGGTAAAAGTTTCTGATTTGTATTTTAATGGGTACACCCATACATAATGAGTGAAATTATCGATCAAGACCATATAGTATTTGTAACCGAATTTACTCAAAATTGGATAAGTCCACTAACCAAAATGTACTAAATCAAAAGGTGCAAGGGTAACCGAGTGAGAATCATAAAATGGTAAACGTGTGTGTTTAGAAAGTTCACACAAGTAAAAAAAAATACTTGGTCGTAGACTTATTACAATGGATTGAAAAACGAGTACGAAGTAAATCCAAAATTGACTCGCCAGGGTGGCCTAGCCGGTTGTGCCAGTGATCGGTAGTAGTAGAGAGACAAGCTGAAGCGATGGGTGGTGATGTGAAGGGGTAGAGTTCTCCAGAGCTATTGTGGCGAGACAGCATGACTCCACTCTTGAGATCCTTCACGGAAAAGCCAAAAGGATCAAATTCAATGGATTTATTATTGTCAATAGTAAACTTGCGAAGGGATAATAAATTTTTGATAATGTTGGGTGTGAAAAGAATATTATTTAGGCGGTAGGTTTGGTTTGGTAATTTGTGGGTTGAATTGACAGACCCATGAATTGGAATTGTCTTGCCATCTCCAACAAAAATAGAGTTAACAGGAGAAGAAAACAAAGGTGTAGTGATTTTACCTTGATCTGCAGTAAGATGAGAAGATGCTCCAGAGTCCATATACCATTGGGGGTCATGAGTATTCAAATGAACTTGTTTGAGAGCCTGGGATAAATCATTAGGATTACAAACATTATAACCTCCAAAATCAGTTGTTTATTACAGCTTCAAGAGTAGGAGTAGACCGGTGAGCAAATTAGGCTGATGAGGAGGATCGTTGGGTATCTCCCTGTTGAGGCGAGTAAATGGGGTAGTGATATGTGGTTGAATAAGTGGGTTGAGTCGGGTAGGGTGCAGGAGATGGTGTCCATGATTGTTGTCCCCACTGATGTGATTGCCATTGTTGATGAGCAGCATTCCACTGTTGCTACGAGTAGCAGCGACCACGACCTCTGCTGGAGCGGCCTCGACCACGAAAACTGCCACCCCGTCTTCGTAAAGAATTGTGATGATAGGGTTGTTAATGAGGACCAGTGTTGTGTGGTGGAGCATCAGAACAATTGTCTTGAGGGGCGACAAGAACTGATTGAGTCGGGTTTTCCGTGTAGCCACACGTTGTTGCTCTAATTGAATCATGTTGCGTGTGGTATCCCAACTAATATCTGAGATTTGGTTGATAAAGGATGCGACAGTGTCGAACTCGGCGGGTAGGCCTCGAAAAAGTTGAAGGATAAGCCGAGATTCAGATAAGGGATTATCAATGTCTCCGAGTTGTTCAATAAGATCAGAATGTCGTTGACAATAATCGTCCATAGACGAACAAGTATTGAGGGTAAGATTGTAGAACTCTCCTTCAAGGGCCGCCACCCTTGATCCTTTGTTAATGTGGTAAATCTTTTGAATCCGGAGCCAAGCCGCACGGGCGGTCGTTTTGATGTCTAGGATTCTACCAAGAACCTCATCTGAAACAGTAGCATAGATCCACTGTAGAACTAGTGTATCGATTTCTTTCCATTGGGTGTAGCCTTCGTCTGTCTCCTCCGTTGGCTTCGTATCATCGATGTGATCAACAACATTATATGTAACACCCGGAATTTGGAATACTAATTAAGGAAAGATAATATGCAATTTGAAGGTCAACTCGTTGAGTCCAAGGGGGATAACTCGACGACTAGGAAATAAGTTTGGGACGCGGGTTGAGAAACCTACTCGACGAGTTGGGGAGGAACAACTCGACGAGTAGGTCAGGGTTTGGGAAACCCTAAATTCAAGGTTTTACACCCTATTTAAGCATCTTAATCCCCACCTATCAGCCTCATTTCCAGCCTCCAAGTCCCAAACCCTAATGCTTTGGATGAGCTTGTGAGTTATTTCTGAGTGAATCTTGTGTGTTTTGAAGATTGTGGAAGAAGGAGAAGATTAGGGATTCAAGATGAAGCATTAGATCTTAGATCTTGTCCATATTTTGCAGCTTTCTGAGGTAAAAAGTCCTTAACTTGGTGATTCATAGCTTAGATCTCTTCTAGTTTTGATTTATGGGTCTTTTCGACCCCATTGTGGGAAAAATGATACCCTCCATGGATTGTATGTTAAGGATTCCCATTTTCCAGTAATATTTGGCCCTTAGAATCATAAAAAGGGTCTTAAACCCGTTCTTGTCCAAGAAAAGGCCATGTTCATGGATGTAGGTTGCTATATCTCAAGTTGGGGTCCATTTGAGGCGTGCAAAGCTATCAAGTTGTCAACTTTACAGAAATAGGTTATGGTAACAATATGGATCTGTATTCTGGAACCTTAGATCTGAGGAAAAAGTAGTATAGAATAGAAATGCAAGGGACTCGACGAGTTTATAGAGGAACTCGACAAGTTCGGTCGAATATTCCCGATTTTGTTCATGGAACTCAGCGAGTCCACAAAGGAACTCGACGAGTTGTATGGAAAAGTCCCGATTCTGTTATAAGGAAGGACTCGGCGAGTTGGAAGAGAACTCGATGATTCAGATCACGATTTCACGACTCTGTGAATCATGGGAACTGGACGAGTGGAGTCAACTCAGAGCGTTGACTTTGACTTTGACGCGACGTTGACTTTCGACCATAGTTGACCCTATAGAGTTATGAAGTATGGAGTGGGTTCTAAAGGGGTAGCCCAATAAGGAGTTTGGGGCCAATTTGGAAAATTGGGCCACTAAGGGGCTTTGATGGATTTTATGGTTTTGACCTTATTGATTTTGGGCTTGGGCCTTAGTTTTGGGTATTGTTAGGCCAGGGGTAAAATGTTCATTTTACCCCAAGTTTGGATTATTGTTCGTGGTTTAGAACTTAGTTGCTAATTCGATTTGTGTTGGTATTTGTTAGTTGGGAGAACCATCAAGGCAATAGTTAGGGAGTTCGGGCGGCAAGCTTCAGCATTCGAGGTGAGTCTCCTCACTATGTGTATTGGTCTAAGGCACCAATGTCGGCCCATTTAGTTTGTGTATGGTAGGAAGACCCGGGGGTTAGCCCTAGGCATTATGTATGAAAGACCAGGAGACGACTCCTGGCACATAATATATTATTATGGTAGGAAGACCTGGGGGTTAGCCATAGGCATTATGTATGAAAGACCAGGAGACGGCTCCTGGCACATAGTATGTTATTATGTATGAAGACCTGGGGGTTAGCCCTAGGCAATATGTATGAAAGACCAGGAGGTGGCTCCTGGCACACTGTATGCTCATTAGCTAAGTAGAATAGTATGTATGCTAGTTGTCTTTGTGATACTTGCATGGAATACCAGGAGGTGGCTCTTGGCACTTGTCTGTAAGACCCAGGGGGTGGCCCCCGGCTTGGCAAGAAAGACCACGTGGTGGCCCGTGGCATAACGGCAAGACTATGTGCGACACATAGCAACTTATTTGATTATGGTATATGATTGATATGTATGGCTCACAGTTACGTATGGCATGTATGGATCAGTAGATATGTATGCTATGTGGTATTTGGGGAACTCACTACGCTTCGTGCTTACGGTTTACAGTTTTGGTTTCAGGTACTTACGGTTTTTCAGATAAAAGAGCTCAGGACGATTGTGGCGCATTCACCCATGTTGTTCTGCAATATGTGATCTTTGGGATTAGACACTGATATTAGTTTTAATTCAATTGCTTTCAATGTTTGGAACAAAGTTATTAAAGTGTTTTCTTATATCAACAATGAAATTTTTGGTCTTGAATTTTGGGATGTTACAAGTTGGTATCAGAGCTTTGGTTTGAGGGATTCGGGCACACTCTCGGGTGTGTCTGAACTCAAACTAAGGACTTGGTATAAAAATTTTCAAAAGAAAATCATTTTTATAAAAAGGGTTTTAAAAAGAGAAAAAGGGGTGATGCGTGCAATCGACCGAGCTCAAGTAAGTGGTTCCCAAAATACCAATACATGTTTGTTATGTGATATTATATGATTATGTGATTCGTATGGTAGATTAGAGCTAAGGATCTAGGAGAGATGCCTTGTATGATTATATGAGCTTGTAGATTTGCATGCTAGAACTGATCAGCCAGTAGTAGGATGGCATGTTTAAGTTATGCCTGATTGTATGAGCCTTTAAATTACATGCTAGTACAGATTCCTGATTAGAGGATAGAAAGGTTTAATTGGAGTATGTTGTTTATATTTTCCAGTGTCTGAATGATGCTTGCTTTGTGCTTTATGGGACCCTGAGTGATGGGATTTAGCTACTAGGAGAATACGTTAAGTCACATGTGACCAGGGTTGAGTAATCTCAGAGTGATGGATTTGACCCTATTGCGTAGCCCTCGTTTGGGTCCTAACCTTTGTAGGGATGAGTCCTTTAGTTGAAGGATTATCCGAGCCTCGTTACATGTGATGGTATTCATGTAGTGGCTAATTGGCATTATGAAGAGTCCTTCAGCAGCTGAGGACTGGGTGGGTTCGGGAACCTAGGAAAGCCTATGATATGTTGCAGTGGGTTAGTAGTATGGTTCACTGAGTACTGGCAGAATGGTTTGAAGAAGTGACTTAGAGGATTCAGGAGGATTGCTGAGGAAAGTATGGATAGGTGTGGAAGGTAGTATCGGGCCCGTACTACTGAAAGCACAGGATCCATACTCGAATCGGTGAGAGTCTTGGAGAATCTAAGAGGCTTATGAGAGGTGGATTCTTGGGTATGTTCTGATTATTGGCTTGTCGATTTTCAGTTTGGAGATGATCTATCAGGAAGATGGTCCGGGTTCGGGTTCTGGTGCAGGTGCTGAGCCGATTAGCGAGCAGTTGCGGGAGTCATTTCATCAGAGATAGTGGATAAGCACTTGGGCGTGTTTCGTGTGGAGATTATGGGTATCATTAGAGCTCGCACACTGACTTTTCGGGAGTTCCGTGCTTGTGAAGCTCCTGCGTTTCATGGGGATAGGGACCCCATTGTCACTAGAAGGTGGTTAGAAGATATGGCTAACGCATTCAGGACGAGTTTCTGCCCTGAGGAGGCGAAGGTCAGATATGCTTCCCGTCTGTTGAAGGATCGGCCACGCAATTGGTGGGAAGAGATTGGTAGTGAGTTAGGTGATGATGCAGTCGATGTTATGTCATGGGATGACTTCTCGACCAGGTTCTGAGATAAGCTCACAATCGCGATTGAGGTGCAACAGTTGGTGCGAGAGTTTCTGGATCTCTGCCAGACTACGGAGACTGTGGCAGAGATCACTGCCAAGTTCCGGGAGAGGGCTTTATTGGTACCGCAGTATGTAGCAGACGAGGAGATGAAGAAAGTAAGGTATCATGATATGCTGCAGGATGAAATCAGGAAGTTCGTGAGTATTTTAGGGTGCGAGACCCTGCATGATATGATCTCTAAAGCCCGAGAGCGGGAAATTGATTTGGATCACATTGAGAAGAGGAAGTCAAATCAAGTGCATACTTTGGAGGGTCCCAGGAAGAGACCCAAGACTTCAGATCAGAGATTGTTAAGCCGGAAGGGCCAAAGTCAGTGCAACACATGCGGGAAATCGCACGATGAAGTTTGTCATTCCAGGGGGTTCAAGTTGCTACAAGTGTGGCAGGGTTGGCCACGTCAGCACGGATTGCCCACAGGGGGATAGCCCATTATGTTTTCACTGGGATCAGGTGGGCCACTAGAAGGCCGACTGTCCGACGATGAGGGGAGTAGTAGGGAGTGCGTCTGTTCCGGCTACTTTGAGGATCACTGATGGATGAAAGGGTAGGGCAGGAGCCCGAGCGGAGAGGAGTCGGACTTTGCAGTGACATGCAGGAGAGATCAGGACTCTGGCATGCAATGTTGTAGGTATATATCTTTTGCTCTTTTCGGTTCTATCCGTATTTTGTGGTTGCTTTCTTGCATCGGTTTGGGGTAAGTCTATACATGCGTTTATTTCTCTGCTTACGTTTGGATTTTATATTTTCAAGTAATGTCATATGCCAATTGCATGCCGTGAATTATTAGTGGCTAGTGTAAGGTCGATTCCCTTTTTGCTGGTTTGGAGTATTCAATGTTATCTTGGGTTAGGACCGAGATTGATTCAGGGGCGTTATGTGAAGGTCTGTGGTCAGGGTTCAGCAGGGTGGTTATGCACCATTATCAGGATTCGGTGGTTTTAGTCTTTGTGTTGGTTTGGCTTTTGGAAGCGCCAAAGGAAGTGGACTATTACTGAAGTTTTGTTTGAGCATCGGTTAACTAGAACTTTAAGGTTTAAGAGAGACATCTGGTTAAGCATATAGGGTCATCAGTATTGGGGACTCGGAAAGCGTTCATCTAGTGTTCAGTAATTATGCGGTCTTTGGAGTGGGCTAGTAATGGATCACTAATAAGGTTAAGCGTTGGTAGTCAACATTGTTGGGTTTTGCATACTACAACATCCTATGGTGTACATACAACCCTAAAAGCTTTGGATCTATGTTTTCTCTAATTATACATGCAATAATTTTTCCAAAGCTTTAAGCCTACAACTAGCATACAATTGACATAAACAACATAAAAGTGAGTTGTAGAATTACCTCTTTGTCGTAGCTTGTAGTTTTGGCCTTTAAGAACTTAGCACCCCAAGTGTGATGCCTCAAATGGAATCACAACACACCTTGGACAAAGGATGACTTCTTAGAGAGTTTCTTGCACTCAAAATCGGTTATATGGGAACTCTAAGAACCTTAGTATCTCTGATTTTAGCTATGAGGTTAAATATATATATGTTAGGAATTCAAGAGTCATAGGTAAACCCTAATCCATACTCTTGGGCTTATTATCCATGATCCATGATTCAAGTGGGCTAACTCTTTATGAATTCATCCATAAACTTAGTCCATCATGTATCATAAGACCAAACCATATTATATATATATATATATATATATATATATATATATATAACTAATTTACACAATTAGTCCCCATTAATTTAATTGGTCGCTTTTGATCACCAAATTAATTCCAAACTAATTCTTGATCAATACTAATTAAATCATATGATATTAATATATTAGAACTTATAATATATAATAAATCACAAATAACCTCTTCTCAAAAGTCCATCCTATCAAATTGTCCTGGTGATATGCAACCCAAATGGACCATGCTACCCTCGGGTCAAGTACA